TTAACATTGGTATTGAACTTAGATTTTGGAAAATTTTAACAGATGGTATTACTTGATTTTAGAAAATATTAATGGTCAGATACTTATGATTACTACTGTAAAATGTTATAATTATAACTTTTCAAATATAATTATAAATTATTATTATTATTATATTATTATTATTATTATCGTTAAATTGTTATTAGCATGATTATTTTAAAAATAATTTAAATACATTATCTTTAACTCTAGTTCTTTTATTTTAAGCTAAAATTTTATACATAATTGCCTTATATTAAATTTTATTTTTTTTGATGTTTTAGTTTTAAACTACTCAATTACTAATTTTTTCTTTTTATAAATCATTTCTGCTTCTTTTTAACCATTTATTTCTTTTCAAACTATTTATTTTCAAAAATAAATTATTTTCTTATATTGTTTATCATATATTACTTATAAAAATTATAGTTTCAACTAATAGTTCTTATAAAGTTAACTTTCTTTTTTTATTAACTTGATCATTTTTATTTTCATTAGATTTTCTTCAGATTTTTATTTTTTTCAAACTATTAAATAATTTAACATTATTAGAAAACTTAACTATTAAATAAAGTGTCAATTCTTTCAAACTATTTTTATTTTACTTATACTTTTCTTCCTATTTTATTTTTCTTTCTTTAATATTATTATATTTTGGTCACTAAGTGACTTAATTTATTTTTAATCTATTTTTATGATTTTCTTGAAAAATTTTATTAAAAGCTATTTTAGCAAAATTTAACTTTATTTTTTTTATAACTATATAATTTTCTTCAAGAAAATTTATCAATAATTTTGTATTTTTATTATTCTAGTCTTATTTTCATTAACAGATTCAGATTGAGAAATATTATTAGAATTATCTTTTTCATACTTTTTTTATAAATTTTTTAGTTTAATGAATATTAGAATAGTATTAGTAATAACAATAAGTTAAATCAGTAGTAATGAATTAATAGTATATAAATTAAGTTAAAGATTATTATAAATATAATATTTGGATTATATATAAAAAATTCTTATAATTTTAGGGTAATTGAATAAAATATAAAATTTGAGTTAAACATTTTAAATTAATATGTTAAATTTTACAAAAAAAATTGCAGTTATCATTATCTTATAAAATTAGCTAATTTGAATTAATTTATTAAAATCAATTAAGATGGAATAAAAATGTTAATTATATTGATTGTTCATTTGATCATTTTAGTAGTAAATAATTTTTGATTTTAATTTTTGGTTAATTAGATTTAATCTAAAAGATGAATAAGATTAAAAATTGATTCATTTAAAATGATATATTTATTATTTTAATTAAATTGAACTTTCAAATTAATCTAAAATTTTCTCATAATTCAATATTTTTTTGCTAAAATAATATTTAATATTTGAAGAACTTATCAAATTAAAAAAATGATTTATTTAATATTATATTTAAATTTATTTCTGATATATATAAAAATATTTACATAAATAAGCTTAATTATTTTACTTTAAATAAATAATTTTAACTTAAACTTTATTATTTTACAATCAAATTTAACTTTTTTCAAATTTATTTTTTACATGTCACTAAAATGCTATTAAAAAATCATTTTAAGAATAAGAAAAACTTAAGTTAAATTTTATTAATTAACTAGTTAATTTTTTAACAATAAACTATTTTTTACTTTTTATAATAAAATCAGTTTCTAACTATTAAATTTAACAAAAAAAACTGAAACTTATGTTGAATTTTAGTTAACTTATTAAAATAATAAACTGATTTTTTATTTTATATAAAAGAAACATACCTTTAATTATTAAAATCAAATGAAAAAATAGTTAAAATTTAAGTTGAATTTTAATTAACTTTTCAAAATAATAAACTGATGTATTTTACTTTTTATAATAAAAATATACCTTTATTATTAAATTTGGATAAAGAAAAGCCAAAACTTAAGTTAATTTTGATCAACTTTTCAAAATAATAAACTGATTTTTTTTTATTTTCTATAATAGAAATTAATTACAAAATTATTTCCAATTATCAAAATCAGATGAAAAAAAAGCTTAAATGTAAGTTGAATTTTATTAATTTATTAAATAATAAACCAAATTTTTTTACTTTTTTATAATAGATTAAAACTGAGAAATTGTCTTTAATTATCAAAATTTGATAAAAAAAAATCTAAAATATAAATTGAATTTTAAACTAATTTTTTTTACTTTTCTATAATAAATACAAAATTACAAAATTATCTCTAATTATCAAAATCAGATAAAGAAAAAGCTAAAATATAAGTTGAATATTATAGATCAACTAGTTAACTATTTAAATAATAAACTGATTTTTTTATTTTTTTATAATAGAAAATAAATAAATTTCAAGTAATTTAATAGAAAAAGATAGATTTTTTTATTTTTTATTATTTTATTTATTAATTTTACATTTTTTAAATAATTTTTAAGAAATTTTAAAAGGAAATAGATCATATTTTTATTATTATGATCTTTTTTTTAATAATAGCAATATTATAGTAATAAATATTTAGAATAATTTTAAGAGATTTAGGAGAAAATAGATCATATTTAATTATTATATTATTATTTGAATAATTTTTTATTTTTTGTTTATATTTTTTAATAAAAAATTAAATAGTGAGTTTTGGTATATTTTTATTATAATTTGTGAATTTATATTAGATTTTTATTATTAATAAAATTTTAATATTTAATAAATTTAATTAAATAAAATTGTATTGATTTTATATACTTATTTGACTAAATTAATGCTTAATTAAGGCCAATTTTAAGCTGATTTATGATTGTTTATGTTCTGAATAAATGCTGAATTGCTTGATTATTTAGAATCAATTGGTAGTATTTTAAATTGATTTAAATTCTGAATTAATGTTGAATTACTTATTAGATTGTAATCAATTAGTGGTATTTTAGGCTAAATATAATTGAATTTAAGTTCTGAATTGATGCTAAATGGCTATATTTAATCAGTATTAATAAGCATCAATTTGTACTAATCAGAAAATATGACTAATCAGCTGTAATAATATCAAAATTAGCCTAAATTCATTCATCTGATTTCTAGCTGATTTGGACTATTTTGACGAGTGTTAGTAACTTATGTGAAAAATAAGTAATTTATATATTTGTTATTAAAATAATAAAAATAATTACTAATAAAAGATAATTTTTATAGTTAATTTTTAATTTTATTCTAAAATAAATTTTTTAAAATGATTAATAACTTACATAAATTCTTATAATAATAATTAAATATTAGAAAATTTGACTAAAAATAAAAAAATATTAAAACATCTTAAAATTTATCTTTAAAAAAGCTGAATTAAATCTAATTGATTAAAAAAATTTTAAAAAAAAGGAAATTAGCTTGTATCTATATAGATTGTTCAGATATTTTGTAAAACACAAGCTGAAATTTTAACTCTAAAATTTTTTTTGTTAAAATAATAAATTTATTTACATATTTCATATTTATTAATATTTTAGTATATTATAGAAATTTAATTATGAATGACTAATAGTTTCTTAAATATTAGGGATGCTAATAGTTACGGTCATGACCGGTCGTAACCGTGACCGATATTGGTCGGTCAAAGGCTTCTGACTGGACCGGTTGACCGACTGAACTGACCGATTTAAACCAACCAGTTGACTGACTGACTTGAGACTTAACAAACATGTTTTAAATAGTAAAAATACTTTGTATTAAATTAACAAATCAACATTTTATTTTAATTATTCATAAATTTAAATTTGTAAATTTTTAAAAAAAAATTAAAGTCCGCGATAATGTTGCGCTTAAAGATGGTCATTGGTCCTACTCGGTCTGATCTAAGCCAGCCCCGGTCTATGTAGGACGGACCGTGGTTTCTGGCGCAATAAGACTGATAATAAGACCGATCGAAAGACCACATTTCAGTTTATAAATAAATATATCTTTCTTCTTTTTTTATAGGTTCTTTCGGTAGCTGATTATGGTAAGCTTGTTTCATTTTTCGTTTCTTTTGTTTTCTCCGCTTTGTTACTTTAAAATCTAACAATTTCCTCTATATTTTTTTTAGAACTTCGTTCTTTCATCTCTTTCGATTCTGGCTCCTTAGGCAATTATGGATATATCATTTTTATTACGCTTTCTTTTGTCCGCTTCATTTTTTTTGTTACTTGCTTCATTTCTTTAAGCTCTCTAAAATTTTTCTATTTTATTTTTAGATCATTCTTTCGGCGGTCCTGGTTTGTGGTTATGGTAAACCGTTCTTATTGGTCTATCACATAATTATGGAAGACTGTAAAACCTGCGGTCCTACCGGTCCTACGCGGTCCATCTTTTTGAGGTGTAGGACCGGTAGGACTGAGGTCCTCCGGGACCGATGACCATCTTTAGCTGCGCTACTAAATAAAAATGACAAAGTAGTTTTAATAAAATGCCATACTAGAAATGTTGAAACAAGAATCAAAATATAATATTTAATTAATTTAAAATTTCTATCAAGCCTAAACTGCTTAATTATATTATTATATTATTAACCTGTCGTCAACCGGTCAGTCAGTTAACCGGTCGGTCGGTCAAAGGCCTTTGACCGACCGCTGACCGAACCACGACCCACCGTTACCATCCCTATTAAATATATTAACTACATTTTCTAAATATTTAACCCAACAAAGTTAAAACAAATTTATATTAATAATTTGTTATAAAAAATGCATTTTTCTTAAGTTTTTTTTTTTTCCAATTGCTTTAAAATTATGTAATAAATTTTTATTAATATTATTTACGTTTACGTTGTAATTCGATCATCTTCGAATTGTACGTATCTAGCATATGACATTCGGATAAATTTTTTAACACCTGTTGATCTTTTGGTTTCACGACATATTATTTATATGTTCTTTGTTGTTGCTATGAAAAAAAAAATTCACCCCTTTTTCTTCACTTCTTTCACTTCACTTTACAAAATATGGGTCAATTACCGACGGAATGTATTCAAGAAATATTAAAATTCGTGGATAGTAATTTGTTTTCGTGTCTTTTAATCAATCGTATATGGTGTAGGAATACCGTACCGTTGATATGGAATAATCCATTTAGATTTAAAGGATTATCCGATCAAAAACATTCAAGATTTCTTGATAATTATCTTAAAAGTTTAAATCAAGAGGAGAAATTTTGGTTAATTCAAAAAGGAATTGCATTCGCACATGAGCAACCATTATTGTTTGATTATGCATCATTTTTGGAGGTGATTAAATTCGACAAATTGGATCTCACCATAAAGAATTGGGTTGAATATATTTATTATGATTTCAAGGTACCAAAAATTATTTTTTTGGGAAAAGGAGAATATTATATTAATATCTTAACCGTCTTATTTAAATTGTTCATGAGACAATCAAGGGGCATTCGATCATTATTTATTAGTGAAATTATGAACATACCTACCGTTACCAGAATAAAATTTCCCGATTTTTCATCATTTTCTTTGGCGATGCCTGGTATTAAAGGAGTCAAAGATGTTGAAATTAATTTTACTTATGAGGTAAAACCTTATAGGAAACTTTTCGAAGCAATCTCCACGTCATGCGTCCAGATTCAAAACTTTTCATTATCCTTCCCATGTACTTTTAGATATAGAAGTTTCCCACAATTTAACAGTAATTTGATAAACATGATAAGGAATCAAAGGAGATTGGAATCTATTACTTTGAAATTTGTTATGTTTAGCCTAACTGAACTGAAATCAGTGTTCAGTTCTTTAAACCTACATATCGATTGGTTAAGGAAGATTGAATTGAAT